AGACACTAGATGCCGACTAGCGGAGAGATTAATTGCAATGGCACAGCCATGTTGGCACGAAGAAATAATTCTTCATTATATAAATGTCATATTTCAACAGCCTATAATAGCGTTCTTTATTGGGCTAACTTGAGTTTCCTGTTTACATGACTGGACCTCTATACATCCTCCCCCATCCCCCACCATGTCTCCCCCTCCCCATCAAGGTTGCGTCCCATCACTACATATCTCCCCCACCCACCCCTGTCTCTAGTACACTGTCCATAATTCCCTGTGTATCACTATCACTCTATACCCTCTGTTCATTTCTCTCTCTCTCTCTCTGTCTCACTTGATTGGTCCCCCTCTAATCCTCCCCTCTATGCATATTTTGATCCCTCCTCTTTCTCACCCTTCTACTGATACTTTTCTCCCCTTTGGTTCTCCTCCTTTTTACTGTCGTCACTCATTTCTCTCCCCTTTGGTTCTCCTTTTGCCACAGTGAGTCTCTTTCTCCCTTTTCCTTCACCTCCAATTGCCTTCTTCTATCCCATTTACACATATTTCCACCCTTTTCCTGTCTATTTCATTGTCCCCTCCCTGTGTACTCCCTACCTAATTATTTAACCCCCCCCCTCCCCACACACACACACACACACACACACACCCCTTCCCAGTTTCCACTCGGCCTACATCAGGTCTGCAGTAACATTAGACCCGGGTAGAGTATTTCACGGGTAGAGTATTTCATGCAAGATGTTAACATTACACACCGTTTAGGTGGGTAACCTGACCTTGTCTTTGTGTGTGAATCAAAATCCACGATCATAATTCCATTTTTTTGTTTATTTGAAAAAAAAATATCAAATTATCGCAGTTACTTCTTTAATGTGTTTTTTTTAAAGGTTTGAAAGCTGCTGCAGCGAAAAGGCAGTGAAATTCAAACTTTGCCTCGAGCGGGATTAAAAATGTATGGTAAACAATAGCAATTAAGAGTCAGTCATTCAATCTTCCATCCATATGTGACCATCACATTACATCCAAGATATCATGTTAGAGCTGACACTCATGTTCTCATACACAACAGCAGGTGTTTTGGAGAATCTTTGCATGACAGATCTTATAATGCTTTATCATCTTGCCCCCACCTACCGACCTGACAATCTGTATACAAAATTACAGTATTGGGTGAATTTAAAGAAATTATTTACAAGTTAGATCACAGGTAGCCTGCATAGTGGTGATATATATATATATATACATCTACAACGACGACAGGGCCTTAAAGTTACTGCAATACTCTTCAATTGTCATTAAATCTGAAATCAAGTGTGAGTTATGAAACTTGTTTAAGGAAAGTTTCTAAAAACCATGCTTTCCTAAAGTTTTATAGTTTGAAACAGTGATACAGTAAATTGTTTTTAGCAAAATACAAAAAACAGGTACCTTTTTCTGCATCTATTGTAAAGATTTTAATAACGAATGCTATCTATCTATCAGACACATGGACGGTGTTATTGGTCAACGAAGCAGTCAGTGTTAATTCTGCCCTCAACTTACACACTATCCGAGGGCCTTATTGTTTTTAAACATAAGTTATATCCCGTTATATTTCTATTTGTTTTTTATATAATGTAAATGTTCTGTGTTTTTTCTGTGTCTCAATAAAGGAGCGGATTGCACGACAAGTTTGACAACCACTGTCGGAATGACCTCCTTGCCCCACGTACGTACATAATCACAATTACAATATTAAAGCAACAGAAAGTCTGAGGAAGAAACATGACAATAAGTAGTCACTAACATTTGTACAGTGTCTGGCCTCAAGCTGACAACTGTAAAATACAATACCTTTGTACTTGATCTAGATAATGAAAGAAGATTTTCCAGAGACGATTTAATTTCTCTAATGCAGTATTTGTAACGTATCTCGGTCCTGACTAGATGACATGAAGCTTTGAAGTAGGTGTGTATCTTTGGCGTATCGTTCCGATGCGTGCACACTAGAAATTGTTCTCTATTTCCTTAAAATTTACTTTTTGGCGTGTGCATACAGATATTTTTTTTAATTTTTGTTGCCTCAAGAAAACTGTGTTTTTTGATATGGCTGATATGGTTTGCGCAAAAGTCGTACAATTGTGTAAATAATTTATTCAGACCTACCGGGGACTAACTACGCGGCCACTCCCATTAATGAGTGTGTTCGGTAGCTAGATAGGACAGAGTAAGGGCTGAGACAAATGTCTTCCAATCACTTAGCAACAGCGAGTCCTGTAATTGATCATCGGGACTGCTGTATAATTCATTGCTTCTGACTTTCATCCTCTACCTCTGAAGTGCATTAAAGAAATGACATCATCAAAATTTAATGTCTGATATATTACAGGCGACAAGAAAATTCACGTCAAAACTCAAGCAACGCCTCGACCATATTGAAACGGAGACTTTTTTACGGTGAAGTCTCGACACTGTTTCAGGCACAAGGAACTCCTTATGGAGTTGAAAGATAACAGCATGTATCAATTTCTTACATGGTAGTGATCAATGAAATTGACTGATCACAAGGTATCTATTTAATATACTACCTCCACCTGAGGTATCTATATTATAAATCATTTACAGCTTGTCACACTGTCACTGTCATTATCCATCTGTAAGAGCTGTAATAGACTTGAAGCTCGGAAATGATCCTGGAAAATCTGCTGATCCCCCCAAACACAGTGCACTAATCTCTGTTGTTACAGCTTTCTTTTCCGCCTGTTTCTTACAGCCCTTCCCTCACTCCTATCTAAGCACTCCCTCCCTCTGCTCCGCCCCTTCCCCCACTCCCGGTCCAGTCTAGCCCCACTGAAAATCTTAATTTTGTTTCTTTCATCGTATAATTTCTCATCAAAGTCCCGTATAATGGTTTTAATTTCAGAAATGATTTATCAAAGCTATAGTCATGCTGGAAAAAACAGTTTCCAACACTTAGTTACAGCTTACAGGTATGGGGATGCTTTCACATCTCCGCTCCTTTCTTCATCCTTCAGACCACCATTCCCCTCATCACCCCCACAAACCTATTACCTATCAGAAATATTGACAATAACATGTGTCATTTGCTTTCTCAAGTGTGACGATGGCTGTATTGCTTCTTTTCATAAATAAATCATGTTTTCCTAAAGGTCTTGGATACTGGAGAAAAGACTTGGCCCCAGATAACTCTGATAGTGCTAACAATATGCAAGGGATCAATCTTTCATGATTTGTGTCGTCTCTTTATCCGAGTTGTCGGATCAATATGTGATGTTTAACTTCTTAAGCTGTGTAAATGTTACCTGATCAATGGAAACACAACAAGAAGTGGAGGTAAAAAGTGGACACAAACCTAATGACATTACGTTGAGGGCCCCCAGCCCTTCACTGTCAAGAAAACTGATACCATAGTAACCAATTAGTTGTAAGCAATTTGTGATTCTACTCAAACAGTCCGGAATCAATACAGACATTTTCTGTTTAATTTGGTCCATTGTGTGGAGACTGGAGCATCAAGTGTTTGCCTAAGTCGTTAGAACGCCCCATCACACCATTACTTCTACAAAGATCTTGTTTATATTCTATTGCTTTTAACACAGATATTTCTTGAAACCACGGTTTACATATTGTAATTGTTTTCTATCGTACCATTTTATAACTTTTAGGAAGTCACTTGTTAAATCCTATACTTTAAGCACGTAGCCACTATTATGACACACGAAAATATTTCTTACGACCTTTATCTATCCTCGTCATCCTTAAAACACCAGAAAATATTGGGTCCATCTATTGATTTAAATATATATCTTCTGCGTTATCTCAAAAAGTCATTACAATCATTTTCAGAATTCATTTTATTTACAGAAAATCTCAATGTAAGCACCTTCACAACATGTTAATATCACAATGATTATAATCACAAAAATAGAGGCAAATTAGACAGAAATAAAAAGTTGAAATATCAAAAATGCCGTTTTTTTGTATTTCTTTGGATGGACTTTTAAGCATCCCTGTCCCACTGCACCTTGAGTTTTTCATATCTACAGTATCTTCCCCTTAACTTCTGTTTGGATAAAACTGTAGCACATCGATTAAGGCCTGACACTTCCATTGACCAGAAAGTTAATTAAGTCAGTTAAAGAGTTAGACTATATATAACAGTCTGAAGTCCAGTTTTGGAACACCAGCCTAGCCCTACTGAACTTTTTTCCCACCAGAACACTGTTCATGATTATATTTTCCTTATTTGATCTTTATCACTTCTCATACTAGTCCCCAAAATTTAAGGATTTCTGTTTAGGAATGGTCTATCAAAGCTATAGTCATGCTGGAAAACACAGTTTCCAACACTTTAAGTTACAGTTTTTGGCAGTGGTACGGGGATCCTTAATGTGAATTTTGGAATAGACTCGCTTTAAAGAAAATCGTTAATTAAACGTACGAACTGACATTTGTATTTGTTGACAACAGGAGTCTCTAAATCTTGCCTGCAAATATTATCAGAAAACAGAGGAAGAAGTCTCTAAATTTTGTCTCATATATTAATTAGACAATTGGGATGGGAGTCCCTGCAACTTGTCAATTATCAGATTAGACTTCTGAGAAAAAGGGTAGGATACATCTGACTATGATAGAAAAGCACTTAAAATACAAGTATCTTCCTGTTGTATACTAAAATGTGTGTCATTCCTACTGGAAAGTTATGTATAGAATTATTTGTAGAAGTTCATGGGTCAGTTTCATCTTTGACATTAACTCAGTCATACCTGAAATTTCATATTGAACTTATATATTCCAACCTTTGAATTTTAGGAGTTCAAATGTGTCATCAGGGGGGGAACGAGTTAACCTGAATCTAATGTCAAAACAATTACAATGTGGCGCAGTTCGAATAATACAGGAGGAAGAAGTAAAACAATAACACAACATAGCTAATTATATATGTGTTCAGCAAAAGATACACATTTTGGGAAAAAATACACAAAATGAGAAAAATCTCTCACCTGAAATTGCTGAACCACTTGACGAGTTGGGCTGTGTTGTTCTTGTTGAACTTGACGTCAGGGAAATAGATCTTCAGAATGGCAGAACTCGGGTAGCGGACGTAGAAAAACATCAATTTGGCTTTCCTCAGGTGCATTGGTGTCAATGTAGTGGTGTAGACAAGGTTAAGGCAAACTTTCTCACAGATAAGTCGTTTTAAACGACAAGTTTTTCAAATTATTTCACATGATAATTATATGCCTATAAAAACTGATTATAATTGCATTTTTGCATTAAACAATACTGATAAATGCTGAAAAGGTATAAGTCATTATACAAAAACTATTTCAACCATTCAACACAAGATAAATACTGTTTTTAAAATTTCTTTAAAAAGATTTTATTATCTCATTCACCCCTACATAACTAAACTGGACTTGCCCAGCCTTTGATTTGGTAAGGTTCAAATGCGACTAAATTAGGGGTAAATGGGTTAAAAGTCATGTGGAAATTCTCAAACAATAAATAGCAAAATAGAAAAATAAATGTTGATTTACATATTTCTTCTAGTCTTTCATCATATGATAAAGGTCATTCAGGGACAAGTGGCTGAAGAAAAGCAAAAAAAGGAAATAATTAGAACTGTTATCCCTTGTGTAAGGTTATAATGTTAAAATCCTACTACACCTACTGACTGTGTAAGTTCTTAAAGTGCAAGTTGTGAAAAGCTCTGTCAGCATAATAGCATATTAAAATAAATTTTGAATTTGCAATATTTTCATAAATATTAAAACTGCAACCAAAATCTGCTTGTCGTGGGATTTAAAAAGATCGCTATTGAGTTGTAATACAAAACAATTCTCGTAATTCTGCCATTATTGTTAAAAAACAATTTGTTGATTTTTTGTATCCATGTATCATTGAACTGAACAAGCATGATAGCCCCAGGGTAATTATATACCTGAAGCATTAGAATAACAAATCCTATTTTTAAGAATATCATGACTTCAATTCTCAAAATCATTTTTATTTTAAGGGCTACATTTCCTCAATCTTAAATTGAAAGAGCAAAATATTCANTCAGTTTTGGGGATGAGACTAGAGACTATTTATGATTAGGGAGGATAGTGTAGAAATATGGATATTTTCCAAAGATGGTCAGGTTCATTGCATGTCTATGCTCCCGTCCACCATATACACACACATTCTAATTATTATTATAAAGGTTGAAAATGAAGTAATCGGTATTAATAAAGAGACAAGCTGGAGACGGCTGTACTACCACAAGATAAACATCAGTCTGTTGACCTCGATAGAAACCTTCTTCAAGGTCAATCCGTTATCTGTCACTACCACCAACTTATATATATATATATATATATTGACGGAGAACTTCCTTGTACACAGATATACAAACAAACCTAATAATATACTGTCAAACACTTATCACTCAGGAAGCCATCCTTTAAATGTAACTTTGAAATATTTTCTTGATAAGATAATGGCTATCATTATGTTGAGAAGACTATTATCATTTAAAACTCAACCTACTCACTGACAAATATTGTCAACTTGTCAAAACACAGCACATCTGGTTTAAGACATCCATTGGCATGAGTTTCAGCAATATTTCACAATTCAAAATATATAAAGCTATGTGGTTATTAAGCCTGGATTAACAAATACGTTCCAAATTTTTGATAAATATCAGCAGCCAAATAAAAATCAAAATACGAGTGCATGAGGAATAAAAACAGTTTTGCACTTAGTGTTATGCCTAATAGGGTTAAGTCCCTAGAAGCTCCCACGAAGCTGGACATTTAGTCCAAGCGTTTTCATTTCATTAACTAAAACAGAACAGTGACTGAATAAATCAATGCTTTGGTAAAACCTGGGACACCTTTTATAATAATATATTGAACGGTCTTGTCCTGTATCCACACATAGAAATCATATGGCCCCAGTACAGCCTGCAACACTCTCTAATAAGGCTGTGGAGAATATCGCAAGGAAATGTAAGGCAATGAAATTGCTTCAGATATTGTATTGTTCATATCTTATTGAACAATTTTCATTCATAATGTAACAAGACAAACAGCATTTGCTTAAAAATACTGAAATAAGCCTGAACCGTTATTTCTAAATGTTCTCTAATGTTTTTAAAGATAAGCTTCCGAAGCTCTGCTTGCTGTCACATACTCTAGTCTCAACGTGTTTGTAAAAAATATGACACACTTCACAGTGTTGCTGAATAAATAATTCATGGCAATTTTCAATGAAAAACAGGGAATGAAAACGTTATGAGTTTCAGACAGGCTTTCAGCAAAAGCCAACGTTTTCTTATGTTGAATTTAATTCCATGATGATTTCTTGAAGCTTTTGTGCTAAAAAATTAGTCACGAACGTCACTGACCCGTAGATGTTGGATGATAATGGTCCTTATCCTCTTAAAATATCCAGGTTCTATTGTTTAGACAAGGACACACTTAATAATTTGTGTGTTCCAGTCACCGTTTCCATCATGGTTTATCTATGAGAGTACATATAAAGAACAATCTTGGCCTCATTAAACACCCCCCCC